TTCATATTTTGTTTCGTTTTATAATTTTCAAGAAAACCCTAGAAAGATGCTGCATAAGTGAATGAGAGTCAAATTCTTATTGCGGATTTGAAATATTAACGATCGATCACTTCAATTATAACATATTTTGTGTATAACCTAAGCAGAGGATCCGAACTCATAATGCAAAACCTTTGGATACAAACTAGATTTAGATTCCTAGTCAAGGATCTGACCGTCCAATCTTATGATGACTGCTTTTGGGCAGGCCACACCTGTAAATAGACATGTTGGCTAAGTTACCAAGAGTGAAAACAATACATAATAAAGAAAGCAAAAAAAGGTAAAAGTCTGGGGGGTTGGCCCATAACCACATGCCTACCACGTGACATGAATGTAACCTAAAAGACAGGAATAGATTCTTGCATGAGATGGATGGGCCGTTGGTGGCCCATATACTTTTGCTTAATATTCTTGTTTGGCAAAAAAACAAGCCCAATAATTTATTCTAAGTGAAAAGGTTGTTCACTTCTCACCTGACACTTTTGTAAAGTCCTTTTAGAAGATGAAAAAGGCATTTGGAAAGGAAAAAGAAGAAAACACACCACAAGAGATTAGTGATTCAGTGGTCCATTCTATTTCTAAGACAGGCCATTTTCAAAGGCTTTGGTGGGTCCGAAAAGGAGCCATTCACAATTTCTTGGAATATCCACTTGTTCGCGGCCTCAGTGTAGTGGACCCCGTCCCAGTTGATCCGAACCGTCGGATCATTGCATGATTTCGCGATGACCGTCTCGTTGCCGTTGATGGTCTTCTTGGTCCCACATTTCACGTACCTGTTGTAATTATATTTCCCACCATGACCGCAACATGCTACAAGGGGATTCCCAAATCCTTCAAAATTATGACTTGCATTGTAGGGTGGATGCAAAATTCATCTAAAGTTACCAAAACTCACAAAGTGAGGTAAAGTGTTACCATATTTTTTGGTTTGGGTGATAAGGGCGCGCTTTACTGAGTAGACATCAACATAGGTGATTGCAGCCAATGGAAGATCTTTCTTAAGGTGAAGCAAAGCTTCCTTTAGTCTTTGGTTGAAATATTGGGCCACCTCATTGAACTGATCTGCACACCCATATTTATCTATTTGGGCCCGGTTGATGAGGAAGCGGTCCAGAACGTAAGGGAGGCAGCCTAGTGGGCCTGTGTTATGTATCCAAAATGCGGAAAGGCTAGAATGAGGAGGTTGAGTGAGGAGGTTATTTGAGGAAGTGAAATCTCACCATCAACAACTAAAAACAAATGACATGGGGGGGTGCATTGGGGGGTCCACACCTCTTTTGATGGTGAGATGGGCCTCCTCAAATAACCTCCTCACATAGTCTCCTCATTATAGAAGCTCCCTCCAAAATGATCTTCCTCCTTGTTCATATACAATCTGTACATATAGAAGCAAACATGCCAAATTAATTGTTGCAGGGACTTGTAGTTTTAAGTGGTTAAGAGCATTTATTCCGGAATATAAAATCTTAGGTTTGATAGCAGGAAAATATGGTCAACCTTAATGGTATTAGAGAGCTGGCTCAGTACATCTGGAACATAAGCCTTGACTTGTTCTGTGGTGAGGTTGAGTTTGTAGCCAGCAGTGAGATCATTTTGGCCAATGTCAAAGGTATAAAGGGCTTGAGAAAAATACTCTTTCTTGGGCAGCAATTTACCAAATACTTCACCTATTTGCCAATTTTTAAACAATCTCAACTTCATCAAACAACAATTTTGATGCAAGAAATGGTAAACAAAGGAAGTGAAAGCAAAATGAGTAACCTTTTTTTTTATATATTTGGGATCTTGTAAGGAAGTCCAAGAATTGAACAAGCTGCACATCTAAAGAAATGGGGCTTACCCCACTTTGTGATATGGTTGTGTTTGGGGGCCTTATGGTTGATCCAGCTGTGGCAAAATTGGCTCCATGGCTGAAGTTTGAGCCCACCGAGTCCAGAAAAGCACTCAGATGAGGCAATCTCAAGCTTTCCGCTTTGAAACAAGGAGGAGGTTAGAAGAAGATGCAGGTCAAAACCTCAACGGTTTTGCGGATGGAAATGGACGAAAGTGATAAAGTGAGAAAATTTCAGTTTAAGAGGGTAAAATGAGACCGAGCTTTCGTTTTAGGGTGTGTAACAGTAAATAAGCCTAATAAGTAAATTTAGACATGTAAAAAAAAAAAAAAAGACTTCAGATTCAGGTCACGAGTGTGCCACTCTCTGCATGTTTGATGCGTTATTTAATCTCCATGCTCAGTGTGGGATTGAAGAACAGAGCCCAATACATTTGGCATATTGTTTTTAACTAAAGAATGCATGCAAAAGCTGAATTTTTGTCCTGTTTTTCAACTTGGTAATGATAATATTGTTGGATCCAAATCCTTCATGAAATGGAGTCACATGCAGCACAGTTTCAAATCTGATGCCAGTAAAATCCAAAATGAGTTTCGTTTTTCAAATTTGCCAAAACCCTTTCTGCATCTAATAGGATATGTCCTCGAGAATTGAGAAAACGACCATAACATTATAGCAAAGGGAAAACAGAAACAGAAACAAAAACATGACATTGTTTAGTAAAGTTGGTGAAGAGAGAGAGAGAGAGAGAGAGAGAGAGAGAGAGAGAGAGAGAGAGATATTTAAGGAGCAAAGAGAAGTTGCAGAGGAAGTACAAGTACCTATGAAGTCAATTAGAAGACGCCCATCAGAGTAGCGTCCGGATGGGGTATGGAAATAAGTCTCTCCATTTGGGTAAGGGGCTTGTCCAAAAGCTGCAGACAGGCCCCCGGTGTCTGAGTTTGAGTCTCCAAAGTTGAACATGGCCGGGAAAGAGCACGATCTTACAGAAATGCTAAGACTCGGAAGCACTAATGTTGCCCAAATTACAAGGCCAAAGAGAACATGATGATCTCTTAGTCTTAGGAGGAAGCGAGTTTCCATATGTGTAGACTATTGAGAGAGAACTATAGATGAAAGAAGAGAGCATAAAGTTTTTATAGTCTCACAGTAGAGAAAATGAAGAATATGACAGTTGGGTCTTTCTTTATCCGTTTCATCTGATCCATCAAGAAAAAAGAAAAAAAAGAAAAGCAAAAAATATTATGGTGGCCTTGAGTATTTTATCTAAATAGTGAAAAGGAGTGACACTTGATCTAATTTTCAATGAGCTTGCTGCTGCCTATGGCAAGCCATTTTCAATGGAACTGGTGGGTCAGAAAATGAACCATCTACAATTTGATCAAAGACCCTTTTGTTAGCTGCTTGAGTGTAATGAAACCCATCCCAATTTACCCAGAGTGATGGGTCTTGGCATGCCTTTCCCACCAATATTTCCCTGCCATGCACCTTAATCTTTCCACCACAGTGCAAGTTGTTGTTGTACTTCCCTCCATGACCACAACATGCTCTTATTGGTTGCTCAAATCCTGCAATGTTTCTGCATTAAATTAGCTCAACAAATTCAAATCACTAATCCACCCAAATCACAAGTGTATGTTCAAGTTTAGCTTACCATGTTTTTTGGGTTGGCTAATGAGGGAGTATTTGGCTGAGTAAATATCAACATATGTGATTGCAGCAAATGGTAGTTCTTCTCTTAATTGGACCACAACTTCTTTCAATCCATGGTTGAAAAACTGAGCAACTTCATTGTAAGGTGTGGCACATCCAGCCTTGTCCACCTGCGAGGCTAATACCGGTAGGCGGGCCAATACGTAGGGGAGACAGCCTACAGGACCCGTATTGTGTATCCAAAAGTATCTACCTCCTTGATCGTATACATTCTGTATATATGTAACAAACAACCACATGAGCTCAAATGAATGACTAGAAAGAAAACCAATCCATTTAGTGAAGTAATAAAATGTTGTTTAGGGTTTAGCTTGTTGGATTGCTCATCACCTTGACAATGCTTTTGAACTGATTGAGGACATCAGGAACATAAGCTTTGACTTGGGCAGTGGACATGTTGAAGAAAAAGCCGGCTGCTAAATCGTTCTGACCAATATCAAAGGTGTACAATGCACGAGAGAAATCTTCTGCTTTAGGCATTAGTTGTTCAAATACTCCACCTACATTGCAAATCATCTTCTCTTTTGAATGCACACAATAAGGCAAGTTTTTCCAACCAATAAATAAGTGGATGTATATTATCAGTATATAAGTAGCATTTGTGACCTTGACTACGAACAATTTGGGATCTTGGAGGAAAATCATAGAACTCGTCGTATTGAACATCCAAGGAAATGGGGCTAAACCCACTCTGATGAAGAGTTGTGTTTTGAGGTCTGATGGTTGAGGCTGCCGTCGCAAAGTTGGCTCCATGACTGAAGTTGCTCCCCACAGAATCAAGATATGCGCTAAGAAATGGCAATCCGAGGCTGTTAGCTGAAAACAGAGGATTCAATTCAATCAAGGCAATACTATTACATTGGATAATCTGAGTAGGTTGATTTTCTTTTTTCACTTGATGCCATACATATTTTGTTTTGGCATTTTTGGTAGCTTCCAAACTCATTCAATTATGTTCATCTAAACCCAAGTCATGAATTCAGTTTAGTGGTCAACAAGAAAGGTGCGCACATGAATTCTTCATTGTATATTAGTTTCAAAGTTGAGGTACTAGCTATCATATTTTTGTGACAAAACCAACTTTCTGTTTACTGGTTTATGGAAGAAGATGGTACTTAAAATGAAGTACCTATAAAATCAATGACAAGGCGGCCATCGCAGTAACGACCGGCTGGGCCATGGAAGTAGGACTCTCCATGGGGTGGACAAGCCTGGCCAAAAACTGCAGAGAAGCCACCGGTGTCAGAGTTTGAGTCCCCGAAGTTGAAAATAGCCGGGAACTTGCATGAAGTTGAGGCCAAAACCTAGCATGGTGCCAAGCTCACTGAGAGCGACACCAAAATAGTGAGTGTTTTTGAGAAATGTGATTCCATTATCATGTATGGGACACAGAGACTGAGGGAGAGCATGAAATTTTTATAGTCTTAACAAAGAAGATGAAAATAGAGACTAGGAGGGCCATTAGGTCACCACTTAAGGGTCTTTCTTTATCTGTTTCTTGCTTAAGTTAAAGGATTACATTGACTGACCCTGAATCCAAGCAAAAAGAAGAATTAAAAACAAAAGATTCCAATGGCCTCAACATATTTTATTTGAGTACGGAAAAGGGTCACATGTGATCTAATGAGCTGGCTGCCTATGGCAAGCCCTTTTCAATGGAATTGGTGGGTCTGAAAATGAACCATCTACAATCTGATCAAACACCCTTTTGTTAGCTGCTTGAGTGTAATGCACACCATCCCAATTCACCCAGAGAGATGGGTCTTGGCATGCCTTTCCCACCAATATTACTTTGCCATGAACCTTAGCCTTTCCTCCACATCCAATGTGCAAGTTATAATTGTACTTCCCACCATGACCACAACATGCTCTTACTGGTTCCTTAAATCCTGCAATATTTTGTATCACATGTCAACAAACTCAATCACTAATTAATCCACCCCATAAAGGAACTGATTTCGATTTAGCAAGAACTTACCATGCTTTTTGGGTTGGCTAATGAGGGAGTACTTGGCTGAGTAAACATCAACATATGTGATTGCAGCCAATGGCAGATCTTTTCTTAATTGGACCACAGCCTGTTTTAATCCACGGTTGAAAAATTGAGCAACTTTATTGTAAGGTATGGCACATCCGGCGTTGTCTACCAGTGCGGCTAATACAGGTAGGCGATCCAAAACGTATGGAAGACAACCAATGGGACCTGTATTGTGTATCCAGAAATATCTACCTCCTTGACCATATATGTACTGTGTATACATAGCAAGCACATCATTTTCAAATGAATGAAAAGCCAAATTAATCACATTTTGGATTGTTAATTACCTTGACAATGTTTTTGAACTGATTCAGGACATCAGGAACATAAGCTTTTACTTGGGTAGTGGACATGTTCAAGAACAAACCGGCCGTTAAATCGTTCTGGCCAATATCAAAGGTGTACAATGCACGAGAGAAATCTTGTGCTTTAGGCATCAGTTGTTTAAAAACCCCACCTGCACATACATTGCAATTGATTTTCTGGTTTAGCATACAATCATGCAAGTTGTTTTAGGTAGGCTAGATGTATATAAGGAGAAATGACCTCGATTTCGAGCAACTTGGGATCTTGGATGAAAATCATAGAACTCGTTGTATTGAACGTCCAGTGAGATGGGGCTAAAACCACTCTGGCGAAGAGTTGTGTTCTGGGGTCTGATGGTTGAGCCAGCCGTGGCAAAGTTGGCTCCATGGCTGAAGTTGCTCCCCACAGAATCAAGATATGCGCTAAGAAATGGCAATCCGAGGCTATTAGCTGAAAACAGAGCATTCAATTCAATCAAGCCAATAGTATTAGATAGTGGATGCTGGATAAGTCTGAAAACAGTGGTATTTTTGGTAGCTTCCAAATTATGTTCATCCAAATGTACACATGTGACATTCTGGTAGTTTCCTAGTGAAGCGTCGGTGGATTGATTCCCTAAAATTTTTAAGCATCATTTCCAATTATATATCTGCCATATATGAAAATGATTGGTGAGCTAGTACATGAAATTTATAATTGTTTATTATTAGTTTCAGACTGTAGCTTAATAGTGAAGATTGAAGTACCTATAAAATCAATGACAAGGCGGCCATCGCAGTAACGACCGGCTGGGCGGTGGAAGTAGGACTCTCCATGGGGCGAGCGAGCCTGGCCGAAAACCGCAGACAAGCCACCAGTGTCGGAGTTTGAGTCACCAAAGTTGAATATGGCTGGAAATTTGCAGGAAGTTGAGGCCAAAGCCAAGCATGGTGCTAAGCTCAGTGAGAGTGACACCAAAATAGTGACAACTAGTGTTTTTGAGGAATGTGGCTCCATAATCATATGTCAGTGAGTTTGTAAGAGAGAGAGAGTTTGAGGAATGTGGCTCCATATTCATATGTCAGTGAGTTTGTAAGAGAGAGAGAGAGAGAGAGAGAGAGAGAGAGAGAGAGTTGAAGGAAAGGAGGAACAGGGCAATTATTCTAAGTAAAACAGACAGTAGATACAGTGCTACATATGATATAGATAGGCTGGTGAGAGAAGAATGAGGTGTATGATTGGCTAGAGAAGGTAATAAACTGTGGAGATTGGAACATAATTTTTATAAAGGATAACAATTTAACAAATAATGATACCTTATTAGAAATCAAATAAGCAGGACTTTCTCTTTTTGCTTTTTACCTTGAAATGGGCTGATCAAAAGCTTTTGTAACTGAATTTGTCACCTTTCGAGTTTCCCTTTTATCAGCTTTGACGGGAAGCGCTCTGGCCTTTTTGAAGAAGGATCTTTTGGTTTCAAATTTCAATTCAACTTTGGCCATACGAGAGTCTATAAAATTTGAACATCCCATGAAAGACAACATGTTGACTCCATGGCCCAATGGATAAGGCGCTGGTCTACGAAACCAGAGATTCTGGGTTCGATCCCCAGTGGAGTCGCTTATTTTCATAATTGTTTTTTTCTTCTCCTCATTCCATCTGGCAGCCAGGTATATATATATTAATGGTTGCAGTAGGCCAAGGCTCACCTTTCTGATAAATACTTCCCCATCCCCGTTTCATCGGCCCCCTCTCTTTTGATTGATCTTTCTTTTCTGTATCATTTTACACATTAAGTGTCCAGAAAATCTGTTGTTTCTTTGTTTCTCTTTTGGTGTGTGTGTTTGGCATGCCAAGATTACAAAGACTGAAGATGAAATATGATTCAAAGGAATGCTGCAAAGCCCAACCTGGCCTTAGAAAATCCATGCCCCACTCAAAAAAGGTTTAAATTCCACATATACCAAATCTATAAAAGATAGTTATGTACTTGGAAGTAAAATCAAAAGTGCGGAGGCTTGTGGCATGCTTCAGTGATTGAAACTGGAGGGTCTGAAAATGCGCCGTCCATAATTCGGTCGGCTAGCCATTGGTTTGCAGCATCAGAATAGTGCACCCCATCCCAACTAATGTATTTTGAAGGATTGCTACAAAGGGCCTCAACTTCAGTGCCATTAACAATAGTTTTTATCCCACAATGGACGACGGAATCACCATAACTTCCACAGCATTGAGCTAGAGGACTAGTAAAACCTGCAAATTCCACACACCAGGAAAGAAAGGGTTTTGGACAGGCCAAAGAATGAAGCATAGGAACACTAGCTATAGGCATGAACTGGAAGAAACTTACCATGCTTCTCTGCTTCGCTGATAAGTGTGTACCTTGCGGTATAGAGATCGACATAAGTAAGAACTGCCTCTGAAAGTTGGGCCCTTAGTTTAAACACCCTATCCTTGAGCTGTCTGTTAAATTCTTCAGCCACCTCATTGTGAGGCTTCCAGCAACCGTTTTGGTCTAGGTCGCCAGGTTTTGGCAGTTTATATGCAAGTGTTGAAGGCAAGCAGCCAAGGGGACCTGTGTTGTGAATCCAAAAAACTCTTGCTCCTTCTTGGTATAGTTGCTGCAAAACTACAATATCATTATTTTGTTTGAGAATATAATTTTGCAAGGACAGTTCAAAGTTCAAAACAGATTTATTATGCATTTCATTGACAAGACATCAATTTTTTTAACACAACACCTTAGGCATTTCATGTGACAACTATGTTGAAAAGAATCTAGAGAAAGTGTTCCTGTTTTCATGGTTACCAATTTTCTACTCATAGATTACAGGTTACAAGCCAAACAATTAAAAAGAAAAAAAAATGAAGACTTCGTACTGCTGAAAATATGAATTTTAAGATGGTTGAGTTACGTTTTGGTTGCCAAAACCTATTGCAGCTCAAGAAGAAAGGACAGCTGCTAATCATTACCTCTATTGTCAAAGCTAACTGCGCAGTGATGTTGGAAATCGATGCCAGCACTTCGTCCATAGTCTTCAACCTTAATCCAGCATGAAGATCGTTTTGTCCAATGTCTAATGTGTACAAGGCCTTGGAGAAATCGCTTGGTCTTGGGAGGCTGGTCCTTTTATCTGAAAACCAATCCATAATTGAGTGCAACATAATGAATTAATGGTTCAAGTAATTTCCTCTATAACTCTTCTTCAGCAAACATATAGTCTAACCTTCAGTGAAAACCTCATTTACACGTGCTTTGAACTGCGCAAATTGTGAAAGCTGTAGGTTAAGAGAGATGGGGCTATATCTTGCTTCAAACATCCTGCCATCTAATGGCTGAATTGTAGATCCTCCGGTTGCGAAACTTGCTCCATGATGGAAATTTGATCCGAGAGAATCCAGATATGCACTAAGAAATGGGAGACCCAACTTATGAGCTGCAAGATTGGCAAAAGAAGTTCATAAGTAGCTTAAACGAAGGCAACTAGACATATTCACATATTGTACATTAGGCTTTGGTACAATAATAATTACAAAGCATGGTGAGGAACAGAATGAGCACATAAGACAGTAAAATCCTGCATTAAAAAGATGTTCCAACCTCAAAGTAACTAGGCACTGAAAGAAAATTGCATACAGGAGATACAGAAGAGCATCCAATCCATCACAACAGTCCATGTTCTAACCTATAAAATCGATGATGAGACGCCCATCTGAGATCCTGCCTACAGGTTTACCAAAGAAGGTATTGCCATAAGGGGAAGGAAGCCGAAAAAATGTAGCTGACCAACCACCCGTGTCAGAATTTGAATCACCAAAGTTGTAGATTGCTGGAAATTGACAAGCACTACTTGATTTATCTTGTGTTCCAAGGCCCAAGAAGATTGAAAGAGCACCAACTAAAACAACTCCAACTGCCACTGCTTCCACACTCTTCTTCAGTCCCCAGGGCCCTCTCCACCATCTACTGATAGTAATAAACCTCACACGGTCCATATGAACCTCTTTCTGCTTCTCTCAGACCTTTCACCAAAGAAGAGATTTATCATATAATGTGATGTGAACCATATCAATTAGAAGTTCCATAAGATAAGAAGAATCATCACAAGGAAAAAATAGTAGAATTCTTCATATCATTCACAAGGAAAAAAGATGGGGCTGAAACTTTACCTTGATCAATAGGTGATGGTGGTTTCTGCAGAAGTTGTGCTTCTCTTTGTGGTTAATTAGTGGAAGAAAAGAAGCTGGTTTTAGGCTTTATAAAATCGGTAGAGGAGAGGAGCCTTAATAGTTATATATTTTAGGTCAACTGGGCTGCTAGCAGAATGTGACTAATGAACCATAAGAAATAAAAAAAACAAAGGCATTGTGGTATCATCATCATCATCATCATAAACATGATTGGGTTTCATTTGGATTTGGTCTTCCACGTAACATAAACAACGTAGAAAACCAGCGTCCGAATTGGGGGGAGCCGCAAAAGGATATTGCTGGGGAAGATCCAACGATTTAGACTGCGCCACATGGGTTGTTTGAATTATTCAAACCCACCAAGTGAACAAGTATTTTTCTTCCCACCAATCGGGAAACCTCGGTGTCATTGAAAGAGGTTATGCTTATGAGATTAACACACACAAGTATTTTTCTCATTCTGCTCATTTCAAGTTGTGGGATTGGTTTGGTACCACCCATTAATCAGGATTTGACCTAGTAAACTTAGATTTGTGATAGCCTACTGGTAAAAGTCGAAGATTCATTTGTGTAAATTTTCTACTATAATCAATAGGATTTACAATGTTAAGCATTCACAACGAGAGAGAGAGAGAGAGAGCATCATGCACAATAGAACCAAATTATCCGTATAACACCCAGACAATTGTCACAAAAATAGACTAATGAGTCCCATAGTGTTCAGTAAAAGTGGATCCTAAGAGCAATACAAGGCTCCTTCATATGAAACAGACAAAAGAAAGAAAGAAAGAAAAAGAAAAGTAATTTGCAATTTTACATAGTTTCAAGATGTAACAATAGATCAAGGCAAGAGTTCCCAGTGCCGGTAATCAATAATGCTTGCTCCATTTCCCAGAGCAAAATGAAGAAAACAAAAAGAGTGAGGCAAAATATTATTTGGTTCTGGTTGTCAAAAGTAGAAGGCAATTCAATGAATCCAGAGAAACAGCACACTTTCTCACCATCTTTCTCTTGATCTTGCCCTGCCAAACAACAAGAGCCAATACATCATATGCATTTTGAGGCATTCACAACCAAACTTTAGTTCCAAAAGTACCATATTTTGCCGACTACGAAGGGAAAAATTTAAGGTAAACTAGTGGAGAAGGCATACATTGTAAAGCATAACAGATCAAGTTTCTTCCTTAAACAGGTTTACTTCCTCCCTATGACTGTAAAAAGGAAAGAGAAGAAACGCATTATCCTCACCTGCCCATGTCTCTGTTCCCCAGAAATCCTCTTTCCCTGCCACCTTGAAATGACCTTCTGTCGTCAAAAGGCCTTGTCCACGCATCTCCTTTGCCATGTGAGTGAGGCCTATCGATGAATTCCATACTTCTAGAATCTTCAAATGACCCAGATTGAGAGGGTATCCTGTCAAGAAAGCTACCAGCCCTACCTGCTCCAGACCCAGGCCTGCCTGCTCCAGACCCAGGCCTGCCTGCCCCAGACCCAGGTCTATCGATGGCCTTCTGACCAAAGCGAACTTTGTCATCCAAATCGTGGATCAGTGTCTCCAATTCCCTTTCCTTCTGAAGTACTATATCATGTAGGCTTGCCTGGTCGCCACCAGACTCTTGCCCAGTTTCGCTGTTCGTTTTATCCGGAGATGCTTTCTCAAGTTCCTTCTTTAGATGATCAATTTCTTCCTTTAATTTCCTTTCCTCTTCTGTTTCGGGTCTGCACAAAGGGCTAAGAGATCAAGAACGCAAACTTCCATAGGACAAACACAGGTCACATATAAGCACCACCAAATTTAGAAACCAAAGAAAATTGAAAATAAATAGTTTGCCTACTGCTTAGGAGACAAATTACTTGAGTTTATTGGTCAGGCTTCATATGCCACGAACATTTTGCAATGCTAAATTACATGCTACTGGAAAAGGTAATCCAATCAACATACTTGGATAAAGGTAATTCATACACCTGCCACTTGAACTTTTCCACATCTTTAGTACAAGAAAAACCACTCTCCACACATGCCGATAAGTTGGCCTAAGATAAGTCATACAAATACATGAGTTGATGATGTGTCCATCATTATCAACTTTGAATATTAAATAAGTGAACTCACAAGTATCTTGTGACAATATGAAACTCATTCACCAAAGAAAAAGAAACCAAAGCTGTATCAGCATAACATCCAGACAACTCTCAATTATACAATTACAATGACATAAGAAGTCAAAAGGCATGCATACTCTCTGCATAGTTGTCTGTAATGGATATATACTCCGCCACAGAGGGGACACACAAACGCACAACAATAGGACAAAAAGGTAGCCTTATGTATGTGCCAAAGAAGAGGTACTGACCCAAACATAATCTAATTGTTTCAATTGTACACTAATCTAATTATTTCAATATACCCCCCTTTCATTCAAAACATAAACTCGATATACATGAGCCAAGGTGGGCACACAGTACTAACCAATTCTTTGCAGGCACTCGTAGTTGTTGGGAATAATTCCAGCAGAATTCTCCCAATTATTAACTAGTAAGACAGCTTATGGCAAGTGAGACGGGACTATATAAAAAAACAAAAACAAAACAAAAACAGCCATACAAAGTAACAAATGAAGTCGAGCATAGAGAAAAATCGGTCTCAAAGCACTATGAAGAAAAGAATATCGCTTACTATAGCAAACCAACATATTGAATGTATCCTTGACCAATGAGCACAAAGATAGAGCTTGACATTCAAAAATCAGATTTTAAAATCCCATGGGGCATGCTTGGAACAGTCCTCATGATATCATATAACATTTTCTCTTTTAGTGTAAGCAAAGCACTAATCACCGGATAGGTTCCCCATTACACTTGAAGAAATCATAGATTAGACAAATAATTTCCGCTAAATTACAGATGAGTAAATACTAAGCATGAACACTTGGGCTACTCTTAATAGGAAAACAAGGATCAAGCCACCAGACAAATGCAAACCATTACTGCTGAATATAATTGGCAAACAAGAAGATTAAAAGGTATGCAAAACGGACCTGTCAACGCTGAGATGCTCCAACTCGAGATCAATCTTCCGCCAATCTTTACCTCGCTCCTCCAGCAAAACTTCCCTTGGCTTGGCATCACCAAATGGGTTCACTTTGGGCCTCGGCTTCACCGCATTCTCACTCCCATGCAGCCCAGGACCTTCAGACTGGCTTGACTGAGCACTGGAAGGCCTGCTTGAGTGTGCACTCGTCGGCCGACTCGTCTTCTTGGCGTCAATTTCCGAGTCCAACTTCTTCCAATCCAACCCCTTCTCGGCCAAAATCTCCTCTCTAGGTCGAGCTGCCCCGAACGGGCTGGGCTTATTGGTCTTCACAACCTGCACTGACTCATTCACGCTCAACTCGCCTTTTGGAGGATCCAAAACCAATCTGGGTCGCTCTCTCTCAACGCTGTCCACCTCGCGTACGCCTCTCGCCCAGCGATCAGGCTCCGGCCCCGAATCGCGAAATCCAGACCCAAATGTGGATGATCTTGCAGGAGCAGGCTTCTTCCCAACAGCCCAGTTATCAACCTCGTCTGCCCTAGACCAAGGTCCGCCAACACCCACACCGCCACCGCCGAGCGAGCCATACCGGTTCTGCCGACCTGAATCTGCAGAAGGAAGAGACTTCTTGGTCAATGCCCAATTGTCAACCTCGTCTGCCCTCGACGGTTGATCGAAATCCGAAACCCTAGAAGAGGAACCCCTTTGGTCGTCTTCGAATCCACCGTAGGATCTTCTGCCACCACCGCCCCACGACCCATCCGCGTCGTCGCGGTCCCTTCCCCGACCCGGATTCGAACCGGAGCGGCCGTACGAGGAAAACCCACCGCCGAGGCGACCGTACTGCATTTCGTCCGCAGAGCGCTCTTTGGGGCCGGTAGGGAGGCGCATCATCTCTTCAGGAGTGAGCCCGACCCGACTTGAGGCGGCGGGCCCGGACGCGGTGAAAGAGCCCCCCATGTTGAACTCGGAGAGGCTCATTTTCTTCTTCTTGGGCTTTGTGTTCACAGCTTCCTTGAGGCTCGGGAAGCTCTGGGACTCAGCTTGGGCAGCCTCCGCAAGCTCCTCCGCTTCGGCTCGCTCAGAGTCGGCGGCCCAGGCGCCGATACCACCCCAGGGTTTGGCCATCTTCGACGGTTTGCGAGATCTGAGAACGCAGTTGGAAATGAAGAGAAAATATGACCAGAAATGTTTGAAATAAAAAGAAAGAAACGAAGGCGAAAAAAGAGTAGTTATAAATTTGTTAGTTTTTTGAAAAAGAAAAGGGTGTGAGCTGTGAGCTGGGGCTCCGTTAATGGAGCCGGAGCTCCGAGAACATGCGAAGAAGAGGGAAGGGCAACAGTTGGCGTGAGAGAAGAAGTGTGCGCGTGTGTGTGGGATGTAAGAGTGTTTTAAATGTTTTATTGTTGTGTTTTTTTATAGTGATTTGTTTTGTGAAATTGTGAGTGTGGCGAAAAACAAAGTGTAATAAAGTTACGTGGGGTGTTTTGAGACGGTTTCATTGGGTGAGCTGGTGAAGCAAGCTAACTTGAGCCGTTGATTTTATGTGCCCGGCCTGAGTTGTGGACCCTCTGGCAAGTTGGAGTGTTGGGGTGTGTGTGAGAGTTGCTGAGTTTCTGGTGTGGCCCACCTGCTTTTTGACTTCTAGGTAGTTGACGGTTGTGATACTCTTTAAATTCATTTTTTCTTTTTCTTTTTCTTTTTTCGTTTTTCGTTTTTGCGGGAAAGCGGCACACTTTCTGTTCTTCATCAACTGAGCTAAGTTTCGTAACTTCGTACTTTAAAAAGGAAAATAATTTTGTTTCAATGCGATCTATTCATGTTTGATTGCTTTGGCCAAATCCCATCTGTGCCATGGAAAGCAGAGTGTAAAGTTACTTTTGTTTTGGATTGATTGCTTTTCAGCTCGGGTAGTCCCCGTTTCTGGTGTTTCAAGTGGGAGATTCATGGTTTCTTCTTGTGCTCATGTAGTGAAGAAAACAAAGGGAATTATATAAATAAAAAAAGAGGGCAAATGTCGAAACACCCCTAAATTTTGGAACGAATGGAATGTGCCTCAATATTCAACTTCATCAAATGCCCCTTTGGACCATGCTAGAGAGGCTTTCCTAACTGATTTCGATTGGGTTTGGTTGATAGGAGGCTACCAAAACAATTTGCTGCGGTTTTGTGAATACTCTACTTTTTTGATTGGATGCTGCAAAAAGACATCTTCAATCCTTCTCTCTCTTTGAAGCACACAAAGCATAGTAGTTGCAAATCAAGTTTGGATTTTCCATGCGGCCTTGCTAAGGCCAAGTTCTGTGGATCCTGACCTGACCAACCAACCATTTTAACTGTTTGGTTTAGAAATCCATAGCCAAACAGAAAGAAGAAAAGAAAGGTTGGGCTTCCTCGTCATGGATGCAGTCTTTAGAAAACTCCAGCACCAATGGGACTCTTCTAGCCTTGTGCTTCCCTAGAACTTGCTGTGGAGCTGTGCTCTTCTCCTCCCTCCGGAATCTGGTGGTCACTGCTCCCTCTCAACAAGGACAAGACCTGAGAATTCACCAGTGTTAATAGAAACTATGATGCTTCTACAACTAGTCAGAGCTTCGATTGGAGGATCGAAAATGATGTACCTGTACAGCAACTTACTTTGTTAAGAGTCTATGCTTATAACTCCGTCAGCGAAGAGGTGGCTTTGGCCAGACCACAGATGTGGGGAGAAACTCGGCAACCTGTTTGAAACCCAAGCTATCAGTGGACGTCATGCGTCCCTGGAAGTTGCCTGCGTTTGTTTCTCTGCTTTTTCTGTCCAGTCTTTCTCAGGATTTCTCTTGGTGGAGAAGAGAAAGTTCATAGGACTTTTGGATTTATTGATGTGATGAAGGGTGGGAAAATTGGTGCTGAATAGTTATGGTAATTGAAGGGAATTTGATTTCAAGTAAATATGTGCAGAAAGGCTGCTACAGGCACAGCAATATAAAATCGCAGAGCTCACTTTCATCTTCTACTAATAACAGATATCAAAAGAAACAAGGCACAATGACAGATGGAGAAATTTCAGAAACATTACATGTTAGCACTGCACCTATCTTTCTGCTCAACTATCTGCTGTTGCTTGACAAGTTAGAAGCTTGACTTTGCTTTTGCTGGTTGGCCAACTAATTTCACATTTCTTATCACACACAATCTTGCCATATCCTTTAATGTTCTTGACAATATTGATTTTTTTTTTCCTTTCCTGACAGATTACTTAAAAGAACTTAAACAATCTACCCAGAGAAACTCAAGGCCAGAAGAAAACATCCAATTCACACGTTTCCACACAACTGGTTGGATCCCGAGTATTACACAAACAAATTTGCACACATAATATACAAAAATATTACATCTGTACTTACATGTACTGTTGTTGTTACATCAAACAATCACATAATATAGCTTTTTCTATACAGAATCCATTTTTGTTCACAGTAATTTTCTTCTTTGGAACAACAAGCAATTATTCCACTAAACTGATTCCCACAAGTACCTTACATACATATTCCCCTATTTTCAAAATCCACTTCCCCGCGGGTCCCACTACAAAATCAATCATTTTTTTTTTTCCTTCTTTTGGAATAACAATCATTATTCCACAACTCTGGAGATACTGAAGCAACCCTTCATAATTTTAGCTCAAAAGCTTGATGGGTTGATTGCCCAGAAAAAAACCAAGTGGCAAAACAATTGATTTCTATTGGAAAACAGGGCCAGATTTGTCCAATTCCATTCTCTTCAAGTTCTGCTAGACTAGTATAAAGAAAAGAAGGAAATAGTGAAAGCAATGGCTTAACCGCTAACCTCATTGGTGGACGCAAGCAGAGAAGGCAAAGCCTCCTACGGCCGCTTCCCCTCTCGCTCCGCAACCAAAGCTTGAGTCTTTCTCTGCATCGCCAACAACACGTTGTGCCACGTGTTCACTCTCGAATTCACCTTTCCGTACACCCCCACGTTCACGTCCTCTAAATCTCGCGTCTTGACCTCCAAAACCTCCGCCGCCTCCGCGCCGTCCAGCATCCAAATCAGGCACGAGCAGAACCCCTTAGAGATCTCCGAGTCGCTATCGGCTCGGAACCTCATCCTCCCCAACTCGTCCATCTCGGCCTCGACCCAGACCTGAGTCGAGCAGCCCGGGACTCGGCTCTCCGGCTCCCGAGTCGACTCGTTGTACGGAGGCAGTCTCGCCGCGTAGTGTAATAGCCGCTTCACGCGGTCTATCGGCTCGGCCAGAGACCTAAATTCCAAAACGAGTCGTTTTAGCTTGTCCGCCACCAGCTCCGCGGCCTTCGAAGGCGGAGCCTCCGTCGCGGCCAAGCAAGAAGCCAGCGCGGTCGGGTTTCGAATACCGCGATTCAGGGTGCATTTTATGGATTTTGATAAGAAATTCCTGCCGTTTTGTCGTTTGTCGAGTTTCAATTGGACGTGTCTAGGGTTGTGAGCTTGGCGTTTTGATGACGATTCAGTGGAGGCGGCAGGAGAGGGAGAGAAAAAAAGAAGTGTTGTTGGGATTGTGGTGGAGTTCATGGTTTGGATGGAGAGAAAGTGAAGGAAAGTGGAAAAGAAAGGCCGGGAAATGTCAGAGACAGAGAGAGGGAGAGAGAGGAGCGTGGAGGTAGTTAAGGTGAGGTATATCGAGCAAGTAAATTGGAGATCCTTAAATTGCGCACCGTCTTCCCTCCTTGTCTGCCGCAGAAGAAGTTTCAAGGAGAAGAAAAATAAAAATAGAAGCTTCTGCCTGACGAGACAGACGAGAGTCGAGAGGAGGCGCCAAATATTTATAAGGCTGGAGTCTCCCGTATCTTACAATTTTTTTTTTAAAATTTGGATTTACTTTGTTGATTATTTGGGCCTCCTCCATCTCATTTATTTTTACCTAAAAACAAAAGTCAACTTTTTATTAAAAAAGAAATACAAGTGAAACGTTTGTTCCTTCCGTCTGGCTGCATTTCAAACTCTTTGATTCACTCTCAACATGTTCACGTATTATAATCTAAGTGAATTTTTATTAATATTGTATCTTAAAAGTGTGAAATATATGTGAACGAATTATATAACATAATTATATTTCAATATCATATAATAATTTCTGTTCAAATTCAATATTGTCTTTCTCAATCATTGATCATTAACGTCGATTGTGTGGTTGAAAACTTGCAATTGAAGTAACCAACATGCCTAAAATGTCAAGCATGAGTCAAAGATTGAACTTTTCAGTTTTAGGCAATAGAGAAGAAAAAGAGAGAATGTTAAACAAAAGTCGTCACAAAAAAAAAAAAATCATCTATAATGTCACACACACCCTGATGTTTATTTTTCAACAAAGAAACAGAAGCGGAAATAGCAAAAATTATTGTGTATTATTCATGACATATTTACTTATTTAGAATGAATATTGTAATTATTATGATTCTCGAATTTTGAGATAACTATTCTAAACTCTCAATTCTATTCCTCATAATTTTCAGATAAATAATCTGTTAAATACCAAATACCAAAGAATACAAACGATTGAATTGACGGAAAAAAAAAAGAATGAGAAACAAACAAAACAATCTTCTACGTCCCACCTCGTGATAGAGCATGGACGATGATCTCCATTGACCGTAGACCAAATCGGAGAGAATATACTCTGGTCATGGTGGGTTAATAATACTAGTTAGTTCGTGCACCATTTTCAATTACTATTTTATCTAGCAGCCTTGCACACTAAAAAAAAAAAATTAATTTTACAGCCTTCGTGACTTGTGTGCTTACGTAGCCGAATCAATCAGGAGAATAAATAAATACTGCTCGAAGAAAGATGGGAAATGGTGGCACAACCCCATCTTTCTTCCTTTAATTATATATCATGCTTTAATCTTTGTTCATCCACTACCAGTTCATGATTATCTTTACCCCATTCGTGTTGGATTCCGAGCCTTTGTATTTAAAGGCTGTGTATTTATTCCGTATTTTGTTGAATCTAATAATTTAACCCTCAAATACATTAAGAGTTTTTTTTTGGTTTAATAACAGACGTTAAACATTAACATAGACGCCGTAATGCTTTTTGCTAGTGGGTGTTGTGTTGGCAATTTACGACCCAAAATCTAATATAATTGAATAAAATCCATGACTGCAAATAAGAGATGGAGAGAGAGATGAAGAGAAGTGAGAGAAAGAGGAAGGGCGTGGTAGTGGTGGGGAGCAAGGTCTGGCTTGGGAAACAGAGTTGGCGTCAGTATAACTCTCAGTTCTTACGTCTAAGAGCATCTCCGAGGGATATGTCAAATACCAAACATCAAATTTAAATTTGATGGCTGATGTGGCAATTTGAAATTTACACAGTTTTACACTCCACCCGATATGTCAAATAAATAATTATTGTAACAGTCAAATCATTCAAGATAAAGAAGAAAATAATAAAAAAGGAAAATAATAAATGAAAGAAAAAACCAGCTGTCTTTAAAAAATAATAAAATATTCATTTGACATCTTGCTTTTGGGATGTCAAAAATAACAGCTGAACCTCCAGCCTTTATTCCACATCAGCTTTGACAATTCGGTTGGAGTGAGGTGAGATGTTATTTCTAGCCGTTAAATGTCTATATGGCACTTTTGACATATCGGTTGGAGATGCTCTAAGGGTTAGATTATTATAATCACCTAGATTTAACGAATTGTGGGTAAATGTACGAATTCTAAATTTAATAAATTCAAGTCAGCATAATAGTATTATTACTAAAACTCATCATTTGCATCTTATTATATGTATTCAATACCTTTAAAATAAAATAAATAAAAAATGAAAATTCTCATGGCATCAGCCAACCCCTACTGCCAGCCAATTTCGTTGCCCCTCACTCTCTTTTACTCTCTCACACACACGGACCTTCCTCACTAGTTGGAAGGCACATCTAATATTTTCAATTACAATACTTGAGGTTGTGGCAAATTAACTTTCATCACGATTGGACTATGATTGGCGCAAGGGGAGAGAGAAGGGTTAGTGGTGGAGGCCATGGAAAGCACCGGATGGGGGGCGCGAGGTAGGGGCTGGGTTGGAATGCTTGCCGAGACATTTATTTTTCATTTTTTAATATTATATTTCAAAGAAACTAGATACACATAAATTATAATACTATAAGGAGTGGTTTGGGACTGAACTAAACTAAATTCTGGAACTATTTTGGATTAGTTCGGATTGGCCTAAGCTGAATTAAGTACTGAGCTACGTTTAGTGTTGCGTCGGACTAAGGAGTTGGATTGTAAAATAAAGACCTATATTTGATGCTTTGTCGAACTGAAAAATAATTATTTTATTAATCTCTCCCTCTTTTTCTGTTTTCGTTTTTTTTTTCTAGCGTTTTCTTCTTCTTTTCCCTCTCTCTTTTATTTAATCTTCTCACTCTCTCTCTGTTCTTTTTGTTCTCGTTTTCTTCTCTCTTTTTTTCTTCCTCTTTGATTCAAAAACAATTTTTTTCTTCTGTCTCGAAAGCTCCTACCTACCTTTCTTTTTCCACTCTGACAAAAAAAAAAAAAACACTCTATTTTTCTAGGGGTGGCATTTTATACCGAAAAACCGAAAAACCGCAAAAACCAACCGATAATTTACCGCAATGAAACCGCAATCGCGGTAAACCGAACTGCATTTGCGGTATTTAGAACCGAACCGCATTTGCGGTTGCGGTTGCGGTATTTGATTTTCAAAACTTGCGGTTACCGCAAACTGCAAATATATTTGAAATAATATTGTCTATATTATATTATATGTAAAATATATTTCATACAACATATTTCATACAATATTTTCTATTCACACCCATTATTTATGCTCATGTTATTTATGCTTCTTTTTATAATAAAATGTACTAAACTTATGTTGTTTTATTTGTAGATAGCATTGGTGCTCAAACAACACAA